AGCATGATCAGCTGTTTTGAGGCCTCAGAAATAATTATCATGTCTGGCCGGAGGGATGTTTTTGCAATGTTCTGAGGGAACTTTAGTTGTTTACCCAGGTCAGCCTGTAGCTGCCAATCAGAAGCTGTGTTGAGGAGGCCAGTTGTCAAATGTGGGCGCACCTGGGGTTTCTCTCCAGCCTTAATAAAAGAGATTGCCTTCCTCGGAGCATGATGATGCTTGCTGGTGCTGTTTGCTGAGGCAATCTTTTCAGCAACTACTCTGAGCACCTGGTCGTGCCGCCAACGATACCGACCATCGGCCAGGGCCCTTGGGCAGCTGCTAAGGAGGTGTTCTAGGGTCCCTCTTCCAGAGCACAGGGGACAGGTAGTTGTCTCGCTCTTTCCCCACAGATGGAGGTTTGCTGGGCTTGGCAGAGTGTCGTATACTGCCTGCACTAGGAATCGGATCCGGTGGAAGTCTGCCTGCATGATGTTTTCCCAGGTGACCTTCCGCTGCAAGGTGCTCTCCCACCTTGTCCATGCTCCCTGCCGCTTAAGGCCTACAGCTCTACTTACTCGCTCCTCCTCCACACCTGCTCGGACCTTTTCCTAGAGTAGCTGGTGTCTCTCCTTTCCCTGTGCCCTGCTGACCTGGGCCTTTGGGAAGTACCCCAAGCCTGCTCCCCCTGTTGCTAAGACCCCCACCAGTGTTTTCTGCCTTAGGCGTGACTCCGCCACCTCAACTGCCTTCTCAGCCTTCCACTTTCTTCCTGTCCTTACCTCAATACCTGCTGATGCCACCTTGCAGTCTTTAGAAACTCTATACTGTAGGGCTTCTTGTGTGCGAGCCACCTTGAACTCTTCTGTGAGACCACTGAAGGGTAACTGCACGCTGTTGCTTGCCCCATACAAGGCAGCGCTGGTGAGACTGCGGGGAAGTCCCAGCCACTTACGAAGAAAGTCACTGATCTTCCTTTCAAGGGATTCCACAGTAGTTATTGGAATTGTATAGACAAGCAAGGGCCACAGGATTCGGGGCAGGATGGAATGCTGGTAGATCCAGGCTTTAAATCTTCCAGGCAGGCCGGACTTATCCACCTTAATGAGCCACGCTCCCAGCTCCTCATTTGCCTTCTGAATGGCAGTAGAGTCTTTCAGGCTGGAGTCTAAGAGTTTCCCCAAGCTCTTAACTGCTTGTTACGTTATAGATGGAATAATGGTTCCTGAAATTGAGAACCGGAACTTGTCCCTCACCTTGCCCTTCTTCAGTACCATCGATCTTGACTTGGAAGGTTTAAAACTCATCCGTGCCCATGAGATGAGTCTCTCAAGACCTTACAAGATCCACCTACACCCGGGAACTGATGATGTTGTAATGTGAGGTCATCCATATAGGCTCTGATAGGGGGCTGACGAACACCTGACCTTGTTAACGGCCCTCTGCACTCCACCTCTGCAGCCTTTACCACCATGTTCATTGCCAGGGCAAAGAGCGTAACTGAGATGGTACAGCCTGTTATTATACCTTTCCGGAGGCGGTGCCAGTCTGAAGTAACAGCACCAGAAGTGACCCTAAGCCTGAAATTAGTGTAATAGTCCAGGATCAGGTCCTTGATCTTGCTGGGGACATGGTGGAGGTGTAAAGCATGCTCAACCAGTTTGTGTGGGATTGACCCATACGCATTAGTCAGGTCCAGCCACAATACAGATAGGTCGCCTCTGTTCTCATGGGCTTCTCTAATAAGGTGTGTAACTACACCAGTGTGCTCTAGGCAACCAGGAACTCCTGGGATCCCCCCCTTCTGAACTGATGG